CAATAACACTCGCTTCAAACGCCATCGCGTTATCCACTTGGCTACTGAGTCCTGATAGCCACTTGCTTATGTGATGGGGTGATGTTTAAATTCACTTAGTATTGTTCGCCCGTATCTTCCCATTGATGTTTAGGACTACAATTGATCAGTCTCTTATTGGAATCAAAACTCAGTAGCTAAGTGAATGACACGATGAAGTATGAAGGGAATGGTAATGTGTTCGAGTCCCTGGAATGAACATCAACTCTGAGATGCGGGTACATCCAGCTGACAAAAATTTCTTATATTTTGTTAGAATTTATATATGTAGATGTCTTGTGAAGTCTGATAAAAATATTTCATTATAATTTTCATTCTTAAAATTATTTATCGAACCAAAAAACGTTTAGATTTATTTTTCAATGATAAACAGTTTCATAGTTGAAATCATGAGTCAATTGAAGCTAGATCACCATGGAAAGGCTGAAAGCACTGGCCGACCGTTTCGTCCTAGTGTGGGACTCCTTAGCAGTGCGCATCCAAGATCCACGACCCTTGCCCGCGGGACTCGGACCTAGAATCTATCAGTCTCGCGCGCGAACACCTAACACTTAGACTACTTAGCCGGTCGGCATCCAACGGTGTCAATGTCTAACTTCAAAGTTGAGCAACCTAACACCATTATTTTTATCTCACAACGGAGCTGGAGGAACTCCACTGGTCACTGCTCCTCACTAGAACATCAGGAAATATCTCTTGGAACCAGTCACTAGTGAGCATATGATTATTATCAGAAGGACCATATTGTGGAGATTTTAGTAATTTTATAGTTGAAATAAACAGTTTCTAACTAGAATGATAAACGCTGTAAAAATCATTCAATTTTCTTTTTTGTCAAACAATCTTCGACTATCATTCCTTTTTAGTTCGGAAATCATTAGACATCTATAATCATAAATTTATTCTAATCGGACTATAGGATTTTCGGTTTTTCTAGAATGAGTGTAACACAATCAAGTTGTAACTCATTCATTATATAGTAAAATAACGGTTCAATGATATTGATAATAACAGTCTTAAATATGATGTGGTACAATACTCTCTTTGAAACATAAATGTTACATAGTAAGCAAAGTTGGATAGTGGCTAGCAGTGGAATCCAGTTTGGCACGCGTTTCGTCCTATTTGGGAATCGTCAGCTGGATGTACCTGCATCTCAGAATTGATGTTCACTCTAGGACTCGACCAGTTGCGATTTTAAAACATCAATGGGATGATTCAAAAAAACTATACTAAGTGAATAAATGTTACATGTTTATTAAGAACATCTAAACTAAAGATTAAACAGCTTTTCATTGTTCTACGATTTTCCATATTGATGTCACTTCATAAGTAGTAGTGTTGTGAACAGAACACGACTAGGGGACAATCGAATGTAATTAAGGAAAGATTACAGACTATCTCAGTAAATTCTGATAACCAAACAATGAACAGTCAATTTGCAAAATAACAACCAATTGTTTCAATCTTCACTGTTTCTTCTCTTATTCCATTGCTCATGCATTTTCCTTCCGATTGCGCTTCATTTTAGTTCTTTCTTCATCGGTGTTCTGCGAAAATACATTGTATGTCTGACCCATACCATATACTACTTATATGGATATAAGTAGACCCCACCACAGTAGTAGTAATATAAAATTGTTGTTTTAACAGAAATCAGTCTTATCTTTTACTTACCTTACATACATACTTGAAATTATCAGTCAATTGAAGCTAGATCACCGTAAAAAAAACCGTAAGCACTGGACGGCCGTTTTGACCTATTGTGGGACTCCTTAGCGCGATCGTGGATGCACACTGCTGAGGAGTCCCACAATAGGACGAAGCGGCCGTCCAATGCTTCCAGGTTTTCTACGGTGGTCTACCTTCAATTGACTCATAATTTCAAGTATATATATATATATATGAGTTTTCCAAGATCGTTTTTCTTTTGTAGTGTCGGTTGCTATGTTAAGCCCACATAGATTATTCTGGCTTCCGGAAATGCCAATTTACTCATTCTTCTTGAGCCATGTTTTGACCTAGCTAATTATTAACTTATGAACCTTAACTGCTTTTATATGAGTGTATGTGTGGGCACTTCATATCCTAATGATCACATATCTGTAACTTATTTTTGTTCGGCTAAAAATATCGATTAACGCTTAATTAAATTGAGTTGGCTTTCATTCCATCTTCACTGCGTCATACTTCACTTCACTCATTTTGCTTCTCCAATCTGTTTCACTTTTCCCTCTTTCTTTCGTCTCCCTAAATTGCTTGTTCAAATAAATGAGTGTATGAAATATACTAATTCAAAATCTATTCTCGTATATGACTTATTTAATGCCGTTAATCACTAACACCATTTAAGTTGAAAATTATATACGAGGTTTGGCGACATGTATATCTCAGTAACAATCAATCAAACAATTTACATGGAGTCAGATCTCCGGTCACTAAACTCTAGTCATAATAAACATATCCAATATATAGGTTATCATGAGGTTATCATGTACAGGGTAGAGTTAACCTGTGTTTTAAATAAAGCTTACAGATAACATTGCTTAACAGACAGTTAAACTAGTTTGTGTAATAATAACGATCTTCAAGAAAAGAAGCTACAATATGATGTCAAATCGAGATGGACAAGGGTTTCATATTGTCTTACACATTTTGTTTGAAGTTGTTATATCTAGAGCTTTGGTTCTTACTATGTCGCATACTACTAGACTATTTGAACGATCGAACCCGCAACGTCGCAAAAGAAAAGACAAAAGACTAGTAAGTAGGAACTTTATTCCCCAAAACAGTGTCAAAATATGATACAGAAATCTCATGTATTTATAGCTTTTGACTGAGAGTAAATCATCATTTCGGATAATCAATAGGCACATAGCAGGTCATTCTTATCCATCCAATGGGGAAGCTACACGTTGACATTCTAGAATATTCCCCTAGCAGGGATTTGATGGAATGTCTTCGGCTCTTTCTGGGCTTTTTGAAGGCTTCCTAGAGTTTATCAACGAGCCATCCCTACAGAAATGAATTACATTGTTACACAAAATCTTCGAGGTACATAAGGAATTGATTTTCTGGAAATTAGATTCAAAATTCTGAAGACTATCATTTACAGTCACTTTGCGAATCTTCTAATGTCAAATATAATACTATTCAGTATTTCAGTCAAATATTAATTTTCACTGTGAAGATGGTAGTATTTTAACAGTTGAATTCATGGTCAATCTAAGCTAGATCACCATTGAAAACTTACATGTTTAGAGTTCATGCGTGAGATCGAAGTTTCTGGGTTCAAATCTTATGTACGTATCGTGAATACGCATTGTTGAGGAGTCCCATACTGGGACGAAATAGCCATCTAATGCTTATAGGTTTTCAATAGTGGTCTAGTTCAGATAGACCATAGAATTCAACTGTTAAAATATTATTTTGATTTTATATATATCAAACAATCTAACTGTTTACAATGTTATATTGTATTAAGCAAGAACACGGGTGGGGATAATCGAATGTATTTGAGCACAACATTACAGACTATCTCACTAAATTCTGATAACCATACAACAAACAGTTGATTTGCAAAATAACAATCAATTGTCTCAATCTACACTGTTCCTTCTGTAAATATCATCAATCCATCTTCTTTAATTTCATTGTTCATGTATTTTCATACCGATTGCGCTTCATTTTTGTTCTTCCCTTATCGATCTTCTACTAAAATAAACTCTATGCCTAACCCTCACCATATACTACTTATATGGATATAAGTAGACCACACTATAATATTACCGTGGAATTCATAATGACATTTAATACTTTCCTTGGTTGATATTTGTTCTTACAGAATTTACGAGATAAAAACAATTTGTGACAGTTATGAACTTTATATCGGTCTTCATTAGACAAGTAAGATTGAACGCCATATCTTCAAGTGTAACTCACGGGTATATCTTGAATCACGTATATAACATATCTACAAACAAATTCGGTTACCTCGTTTGTATTAATTGATCTAATAAATTCAATGAATGAATTTATCAACTTTAATGGATGAACTAATGAGTCGATCTAAGCTGGTACACTACTGATAACCTAGAAGCACTGGATGAAAATTTTGTTCTAATATGGGACTCCTCACAAATGTGCACCCACGGTCTCTCATAATCAATTTCATTATCAATAAGAACTGTCAAGGCATTAATTGAGTTCATTTTGAGGAGTATTAGATAGTTTCGATGCAGATCTGATGCAGACATAAATACGGGGATTGGCAGAGCAAGGATAGCATTCCTACAATTGAAGAACATATGGAACTAAAAACAACGGTCTGTCAACCAACATCAACGGAAATGAAACTTGGAGAGCTACCAAAGTAAAAGTATTCATAAAAAATTGTCTACATTAAATGCTCAATATCTGTTGGCCAGATACCATCAACAACAACCTATTGTGGTAGAGAACAAGTCCGATTTCAGCTGAAGAAGAAATTAGGTGACGACGTTGGAAGTGGATAGGACATACATTGAGGAAATCATCAAACTGGATGACGAGGCAAGTGCGAAGAAGCAAAAAAGTGGAAGAACAAGAAACATATTAGGTCGGAAATCAGAAGCAGACATCATAAGAATAAATAAGAACTATAAACAACTGAAAAGGATTGCCTAAGATAGAATTGGATGGAGAAAGTTGATAAGCGGCCTATGCTCCTCCATGAGCAGTAACAGGCATAATTAAATAAGTATAACAATAATAACTTTGTGATGAATAAGCTGAAAGGTGATAATCACACTTTATAAAATGATTTTTAATGATAGAATTCTTTCCTATATCTCTAACCCCACCTATTCAATCATTAATGATGTCATTCGAAAAAAAAACGTTTTGAAAATTTACTTCTTATTAAATTGTAGTATTTTTATTTCTGCAGCATTGAATCCACTAGATTTATGCTTCTGATTTTAATGCCGTTTAGTACTACTGCTGGTCCTCCTCCTCCTCTTACTACTACTACTACTACTACTACTACTACTACTACTACTACTACTACTACTACTACTACTACTACTACTACTACTACTACTACTACTACTACTACTACTACTACTACTACTACTACTACTACTACTACTACTACTACTACTACTACTACTACTACTACTACTACTACTACTACTACTATATACTACTACTACTACTACTACTACTACTATATACTACTACTACTACTACTACTATACTACTACTACTACTACTATACTACTACTACTACTACTACTACTATATACTACTACTACTACTACTACTACTATACTACTACTACTACTATATACTACTACTACTACTATACTACTACTACTACTACTATATACTACTACTACTACTACTACTACTATACTACTACTACTACTACTACTACTACTATGGATTAATTTATTGTCTAATTGACATAAATTGTTATTTTAGTCTGAACAATTTTTTTTATATTGGATAGTATCTTTAGTATCTTGGTTACAAAAAAATATATTTTTCCCCTAATCCCTTCTAGACTACAATTAAATAAGTTCTAATCAATGATGTGTGTGTAATTTAAAACAAACTCTGGAATAGTCAATAATCAATAATTATCAGAAGGGGTTTTTTGTGGAGATTTAGTAGTTTTATAGTTGAAAGCGTGAGTCAATTGAAGCTAGAACACCAGGGAAAACCTTGAAGCACTGGACGGCCGTTTTGTCTTATTGTGGGACTCCTCAGCAATGCGCATGCACGACCTCGCCTCGCGAGGTTCGTACCTCCCATAATAGGACAAAACGGTCGTCCATTGCTTCCAGGTTTTCTCTGGTGGTCTAGCTTCAGTTGACTCACTCATTCAACTATGAAAATAGTCAATAAATTATTGAGTTTGATTTTAGATAATTTATGAAGTGTAACATAATTTGTCATAATGTTCTAAATATTTATAAAATGAACGGATACTATGGTGTGTACTACTGATGTCGACAGATATGTACAGATATGTATAAGTAGTATGTATTATTAATCGAAAGTGATATGCTTGGAGGTAGAAGATTAAAAGGATTGAAGAAAAGAGAACCAGGAACAGAGAATGATTAGTGTGGAAATGAAGAAACAGTGAAGTATGAAATGATTGATTAACATTTTGTTCAAATGAAGCATTTACTGTATGTGTTATGCCCCGATAACAATAGTGAATGGTAACGTTGGGATCCATTTATGGATCAATATTATGCATATAAACTTTATCGTATATTTGCTAGATAATTTAACTACTCATATTCATGTTCCTTTCATTGTGAACTTTATTTTGACCTATAGACTATTATTGTACGATTTATCATTCTGGAGTTATACCCAGTCTATTAATTACTTTTCCCCTTATTCACAGCAACATTTAGCTAACTCTTGTACAAATGTTACTTTCTATTTTATTGGTACGTTGTGGTCAGTCTGTTTGGTATATAAACTCAGTATGTTTGAAATATAAGGATTTATACCACAGAGGCTGTCATTGGTGTTCTGGACTTAACTGACTGGGCTAGGTAGGTAGCAGGACCGATAAGTACTCTAGACTCCTCGTACGGTTTTCGTGTGTCACTGTTCCAATCGATAATTCGCTGCTCTCTGATTAGCGGTTTTATAACGTCATACGTAAATAAGGCATCCACTCGGCCACAAGATATAACAGTAAGAATAAATAATATATTTGTAATATCCCAATGGATAGAAAAATTAGATTTTCTGATGTTTCGTAACTCAGAGTAGGCCACTTCTTCAGAGAATAAATAAGCTAATTCACATTAATCCAAGTTTAAATGGTACAACGGGACAACACAACATAATTATCATATCAAAACTTGGTAATGATACCTACATTTACTGTATGATTTTCAGGTTTACTGAGACTATTATGTTTCAGACGGCAGCTAATGGGGATTCGCAAGATACACAATTCAGTATGGTTTGAAAATTCTTCAGTTAAATTACATAGTTGAAATCATGAGTTAATCGAAGCTAGACCACCATGGAAAACCTAGAAGCATTGGATCAGTGGAGTTCAACCGGATCTGCTGTAAGATAATAGTGGAAGGTTGCTCAATTTCGTGGAATGGTTGAAGTTAGACATTCACATTGTTGGATGCCGGCTGGCGCAGTAGTCTAGAGGTTAGGCGCTCGTGCGTGAGATTGGTAGCTCCTGGATTCGAATCTTGCGAGGCGGGGTCGTGTATGCTCACTGTTGAGGAGTTCCACAATAAAACGAAACGGCCACCCGTTGCTTTCAGCTTTTCCATGATGGTCTAGCTTCAATTAATTCTTGATTTCAACCATAAAATTACTAAAATCTTCACGAAAACCCCTTCTTTAATTAAAACTTCATTTATTCGAGTGTTGATATCCTTATTAGGCTCTCCAATACAATACATTACAATATGCACTAATTCAATTACACTCGACGGAGAAGCTGTGGAGGATGTGAAAATCTTTACATATCTGGGCAGCATCATCGATGAACACGGTTGATCAGATGCAGATGTGAAGACGCAGTTCGGCAAAACAAGAGCAGCATATTTACAACTGAAGAACATTTGAAACTCAAAACAACTGTCCACCAACCAACATCAAGATCAGAATTTTCAATACAAATATCAAGACAGTTCTACTGTATGGGGCGGAAACCTGGAGAACTACGAAGGACATCATCCATAAGATACAGTGTTTATTAACAGTTGTCTGAGCAAGATACTTCGGATCCGTTGGTCAGACACTATCAGTAACAAGTTACTGTGGGAGAGAACAAACCAGATTCCAACCAGCGGAGGAAGAAATCAGGAAGAAGCGCTGAAAGTGTATAGGACATACATTGAGGAAAGCACCCAATTGCGTCACAAAACAAGCCCTCACATGGAATCCTGAAGGACAAAAGAGTACAGAAAGACCAAAGGACACATTACACCGAGAAATGGAGACAGATATGAGAAGAATTAACGCAAACTGTATAGAACTAGAAAGAAAGGCCCAGGACAGAGTGGGTTGGAGAATGCTGGTCGACGGTCTATGCTCAATTGGGAGTAACAGGCGTAAGTAAGTAAGTGATATCCTTATTGATAGCCTAAGTTAATCGCATATATGTGTTTTTACTACGAAATTAATGTATACTCAATCAATAACCAATACAAAATGAACTCTAAGGTACCTTGGTTATATACAGGCTTATATAGATTCAAATTAATCCTTTACAATAATCTGTCTGCTAGATAATTAGTAATTTGTCTATATTTCACACATATTTCCAAGTATGTCTACTTACATCAGTAGGTATATAAGATTGTATGTATATACATATTCATATTCTGGTTTACACTTACTAAATCATACACTAATTGCTTAGACTATCTATGCACATTGTTAACTGACTATTACTGATACATTTATGTATTTAGTTACTATGTCAATGCTACTTTAATTATTTCTGTTTGTCACTGTCTGTCTATTAGTTACATCTTTGAAGTTGTGTATCTGAAATAAATGAATTGAACTGCTTCATTTCACCTTCTAAAGAATGTATTAGTAAGAATTATAGTGATATAACTGTTATCTAGTTAATTGTTATATAAAGTTTGTGAATAGATGACATTGATACTAACTTTAACTAATATACGGAAATGTGAACTTATGGATGAAATCTAGATTTCTAATATTCTTGTACTCATACGAGATTCCGGTGAGACTATAATTTATGGACGACCTTTTAATGAATCTTAAGTGACTTTGAGAAATGTCAGCGAATCAGTAAACAGTCAGTATAGAGTAAAAATATTTTATATAAAACCAAAGAATTAAATTGGATACACTTCTTTTATATGGTCCAAAAACTTGTCAAAGTTAGAAAAAGGTTCCAAAATTGTAATGTTTAAAGTAGACGAACTCATCCATATGGTTTCATAATAGTTGGTCTCTGAAACCATGATGAAGTCATAAAAACCCTGTCAGCCTCTACCACATAGTTTCATTATTGTTTGTGTGTACTCCGGTTGTGTAAGTTTATCCTTTTTATTATGGATATGTCCCTACAATACTCATACTACTGAACAACCGAAGCTTCAGTTACATCTGCGATTATTGCAGCCAATGTTACTGATGCTTTTATCATACAGTTCGCGGCAATCATTATAATACGCCTTACTCTCAATCTGGATCGAGCAATAAAGGTTCCTATTCTAGCAAACGTCTTCCTTCAACATATATTACATCGAAGGACAACATCACGGTAGTCTGCACAACGTCTACAAGTCATTAATTACTCATAATTATGAATACAGGAACTTCTTAGTAGTTCCATTTGTTGTAGCTGCTAAATTATCAAGTCTTCTCTAAAATTCTCTGTGAACCGATCGTACATAAGCATCAGGTACTGAAATAAGTGCCGTGCCCTTGAAATCCCCCAAACGCTTCCATAAATTATAGTCTCATCCATACAATCTTTAATCTCATTAATCGTGGCATTCTCAGAGTTCTTATGATAACCAATGACCAGATTTGTTCAGACATGTACCAAATGTTAAAAAATGTTACCGATGACATTGGGTAATCATTGTAAGGTATTGTGTTACCATGATAAATTTCAAATCATTGAACTAAACAGTTGTATTTAATTTGGCTCAAACATCAATCATAAACTTAGTAAATGTCAATAGTTTTCTGTTGAGATGATCCAGGGAAATCTATCTCAATAGACATGACAAGCTCAGGAAGCATTAAGAAGCATTTTATTCAGTCAGCGTTTGATTACAAGTTTTGGTAGAAGCATCATGAAAGTAAAACGTCGCATGCAGGGTTTCTGATTGGCTGATTACTATACTACTACTATATTTAGTAGCATTTCAGATTCTTCGGGAAAACACAAGGACTTCTAAAATACTATAAAAATCCCCATATTTTTTGTACAGAAATGAACCTTTGGAGTAAAGTGCTTCTCGCATGCTTTTCGCCTATTCTCTCGTGTTCAAATTGCTGTGTAGATTTAGTCTAGCGGGGGGTTACGAGACTAGCTTAGGATCAGAGTATAGCGTTCAATCAGCAAGACTTATCATTTTCTTTATGATGAAAGCTTACTTGGAATTACTTTAACTTTATTATTTTCTAATGAAGAAAACATCTAAGGTTTTAATGATACATTGAGTAAAACATCACCTCTATTCTATATGTCGACTTCTTAAACATCCAACAATACGTGCCACTCTTCAGTGAGTCAGTCAGTTACAACGTAGAACTTCGTACGTACGTACATCAGTTCGAGTTGCCATACCACATTAGCACAGAGATGAAGTTGTCGATTCAAATCCCATATTGGTAGAAGTAGTAAGAGTATAAGTATTATGTGAAAGAATTAATTAATTACTTTCATATGGTAGGA